CGGCGGTGGGCGGGGCCGGCGGTGGGCGGGGCCGGCGCGGGGTCCCCTAGGCGGCACCTACTGTGTGCCGCGCGGGCTGACCGAGCGGAGCCATGAGCTGGACCTGCCCGCGTTGCCAGCAACCCGTTTTCTTCGGTGAGGCTCGGGCTGAGGAGGGGGAGATATGGGGCGAGTGGGAGCCTCTGGGTTTCCCTGAGGACCGAGGGCTGGTCATGGTGTGGCTCCAGTCTCCCTTTGCTCCGGTAGCGGCGCGTAGTCCCCGCACCACTACCCGCCCCCATTCTGTCCCCTCACCTCCTCTAGAGCTCTGCGGGGAGTGTGGCACCGGGGCGGGATGGAGCTGGCCTCCCGGAGACTCTTTCCTCTCCAGGGAGCAGGGCAGGCCCGGCTGGGCACCCCCAGAGGACTGAGCGGGTAAAGGAGGGCGCCCCATGCTTGGTCTGGCACCTTGCAGCTCAGTTCCACTTTGTCCCTCACAGCTGAGAAGGTGAGCTCCTTGGGCAAGAACTGGCATCGCTTCTGCCTGAAATGTGACCGCTGTCACAGCGTCCTCTCCCCCGGCGGGCATGCAGAGGTGAGGCCTGGCCAGGGCCCACAGTCCTGTGTCTGTCACTGCCTCCAGGCACCAACCTCCAACTTCAGCTCTGGAGGCCTGCCAAAGGCAACCTCACCAGACAACCCCAAGGCCACCTACCTGGTGGGTCCCACACCAGCCAGGATTGGGGAACCTGAGTTGTGAATTTGGACTCCATGGCTTTGGGGGCCAGAAGGGAATGGAAGCAGCATTACCTCCTGACCTACTCTTGCCTTTTTCCCTCAACCAGAGGCAATTCTGGCATGCCAGCCCATCCCTCACCCCTCCCAGCCCCATCAGACCAGGCCAGTGGACAGATATACCTGGCAGCCTGTGTTGAGGGAAGGCCTGTGGGACATGGCTCCCTTTGTCCCTGAACAACCCCCTTCCCTCTGCTTGTGCCCAGCACAACGGGAGGCCATACTGCCACAAGCCATGCTATGGGGCTCTCTTCGGACCCAGGGGTAAGTACCAGCCTGAAAGGGGCTAGGGGGGCAGCAGTACCCTAGGAACTGGAGGCTCAAGCCTGACCTCCCCTATTCTCTCTGCAGGGGTGAACATTGGTGGTGTGGGCTGCTACCTGTACAACCCCCCCACCCCTACCAGCACTACTCCCCTCAGCCCCAGCAGCTTCAGCCCTCCCAGGCCAAGGACTGGCCTTCCCCAAAGCAAGAAAAGTAAGTGAGGCTGGGCCTCAGCTCCTGCCCCTCCTCCTTCTCCTGACCCTTCCCAGGCTGGAGCAGAGGGTGGGGCCAAGTGCCAATCTCCCATCCATCCTTCTGCTTCACATTCTTACAACTTTGTTCTTGGCAAAGACTTCTCTATCCATGGCGCCTTTAAAAAACACTCCCTCTGAGCCAGGTGTGGTGGCTCACACCTGTAATTCTAGTATTTTGGGAGGCCCAGGGGGGAGAAGTGCTTGAGCCCAGTTCAAGACCAGCCTGGGCAGCATAGCAAGACCTCGTCTCTAGAGAAAAATCAAAAAATTAGCCAGGCATGGTGGTGCACACCTGTAGTCCTAGCTACTCAGGAGGCTGAGGTGGAAAATCGTCTGAGCCCAGAAGGTTGAGGCCACAGCGAGCCGTGATTGTGCTACTGCACTCCAGCCTGGGCAACAGAATGAGGCCCCAACTCAAAGCAAAAACAAACATAAAAAAACCCCAAAAAACTCAAGTCTGTTGCTGAGTTAAGAGGTAAAGTGGGCAGATGGCATTATCACCTCTCACTTCCATTTTACAGCTGAGGAAACAGATCCAGCGAGGGCAAGTGACCTTATGCAGTTATACAACTAGTCAGAGGCAAAGCTGGCCTGGAACTCAGGCCTCTCCCAGGCCAGGGAAGGAATGGCCTATGGGTGAGGGGTACTGGGATAGGGCTAGCCCGTTACATTCTTCAGCTTCTCTCCTCTGGTCCCTGTTCCTTCCTCCCACCCACTGGAGTAGGCAGTGACACTGTGCTCCTCAACACCTGACACCGCTGCCCCAGCCAGCTCCTATATCAGCTCAGGTTTCATGAGGATTGAGTTGCTCACAGGGTTGGGCTGGTGGGCGTGGTGGGCACCTGAGCCCCCGGGAGGATGAGAAGAAAGCAGGTGGTCCTTAACACATAGAGGGATGGGGCAGGAGTGGGGATGCAGGGGGCTTAGCTCTGGCCCTGAGGAAGGCAGACTCATGGCTGCCTGTGGGGGAAGGCTCTGGGATGAACATGACTTTCAGAAGAGGGCAGTGCCATGTGCAGGCAGGTGCTGCTGGGCCCTGGTATCCACCTCAGCGCTAGCCAGGGCCTCTTCCCCTTAAAGGCCCTCCCCACATGAAGACATTCACTGGGGAGACCTCGCTGTGCCCTGGTTGTGGAGAGCCCGTCTATTTTGGTAAGTAACAATGGAAAGCTTGAGGATGGGGACACAGGTGGGCAGCGAAGGGCAGGGGGGTGATCCAAGGCAGGTGGACCTCCCTTGCTCTGCCCCTAGAATGGAAGAACCTACCACTTCTCTCCACCACCAGCTGAGAAGGTGATGTCTTTAGGCAGAAATTGGCACCGACCCTGTCTGAGGTGCCAGCGTTGCCGGAAGACCCTGACTGCTGGGAGTCATGCTGAGGTGAACGGGACAGGGCTGAGTGGTGTTGGTGGGGGGGTGGGATTTGGGAAGAGAGCCTGGCTGAAACAGCTCTTTCTCTCTGTGCCCCAGCATGATGGAGTCCCCTACTGCCACATCCCCTGCTACGGCTACCTGTTTGGCCCCAAAGGTGGGCAGCCCCAGACACCGGGCCTAAAGTATGGCATGTACATGGTCTGTGGGGATGTGTGGACAGCTTTCCCTGTGGTCATTCACACCCCAGGCCCCTCCCAATTTCCTCCAGCCCTGAACCCCACACCCCAAGACCCAAGGCCTTTGCTGATAGGGCTCTCTCTTTTAGGTGTGAACATTGGAGATGTGGGCTGCTACATCTATGACCCAGTGGAGATCAAATCTAAATGAGATGCTCACAGGAAAGGTCACCCTAACTCAGGCCTCTCGCCATCCCCTCTGTGGTCCAGTGGGAGCTACAGAATTCTCCAGTCCTGTGGGGTTTGAGGAAGGCGGGATCCTGGGGGCCTGGGCCTAGGCTCCATGGTAGGCCAGAGAATCTAGATTTTCTCTGCCAATTCTTCCCTTTCCCATTCCTATATGGCTAGGAGACACAGGTCACTCCATTTTGAAGTGTGTCCTCCTGGCCATTCCAACCCCTTTCCCCAGCAAACTCTGGAGCTTCAAGGTACTCATAAAACTTGTGTTTATTGAATATCAGCGTCTCTGGCTTCTCCAATAAAATGTTGGCCTCCATGCCCTCAACTCTTCTTGGGGCATGAGGACTAGACAGTGGGTTGGAGGGTAGGAGAGATGCATTGCCCTGTAGAGTGCCTCAGAGGAAGGAGGGCCAGCCCTGGGAACAAAGAACTCTGGTCCCCTGGTTCCTGGACCTGGCATTGGCAGCCCCAGAACCACACAGTGGACAGCATGCCCACCAGCCCCACTGGTACCAGAAGTCATCATAGAATAGTCCTTTCTTTAGCACCATCTCTAGAAGAAACACCTCATTTGAGCATGACAACAGGTCTTGTGATAAGGACTACCAAAAAGCTTCATTAGCCATTTGAGAGATGAACAGACTGAGACCCAGAGAGGGAAAGCCACATGGCCAAGGTCACACAGCAAGTCAGTGGTGAAGCTGGGATCAGAGCCCAGGGCTTCCTTAGTGATTTCCCACCCAGGACTCTTCCCACATCTCCTTGCTGCTTCCCTAACCCAAGGGGCACCTTTATTTACAGAATCCCCTCTGGCCATTATAGGGTTGCCCAGAATCTCCAGCAGCCTATTGCATTCTGGAAACTGTTCCTAGAAGCCAAATAGTCATGGTTAGATGAGCACAGAGAGAGGGAACCAGTGGCCACTCCAGCCCTAGGCAGAGGGCTTAATGCCCCCAGCATGAGGCACAGGGCCTGCCCTTCTGCTCTCCTAGCCCCTGCTGCAGAGCCTCTCTGGAGGGCTTGCCCCTCATCTCTCTCAGTTCTGGACCAGCTTCATAGGCATCTCTTCCTCCTGAAGACCGAATGGAGCACTGGGGAGGAAGAAGTCATGAGCGATGGTTTCCCCCCCAAGCCTACCACCCCGGTCTTCCCCATCAGGGATGACCCAGGGCTCTCCCCAGCTTCTGGTACACAAACACATGTACTCCCACAAGTGACTCACACAAATGCTATACACTGCCCTGATATGTAGGATACCTGAGCGTGGACACATATGCCTCTTCCTGAACAATCTTATATATTTGTGTATATACACATGTATGGACTCGTGAACACTCTGATGCTCATTCACCCTGAAACACTCACATACACCAAATACACATGTGCAGATATGACTTCCTTTCTGAATCCTAAGGTGTCAGGTATCTGAGCACCTGCATTCACATGCATGTGCTCACACATACAGTCCTGGGCACACACCTCTTTCTCTCCACGTCCTGGATGGTCTCTGGCAGCTGTGCCTGTCTTGTCTCTGGGAGCAGGAGGGCGGTGCAGGCAGCCAGCAGGGCGATGCCCCCATAAGCAAGCTTGGGCAGTGACAGCCACACTCCATCCAGCAAGGCCGCCAATGGGGCCAAAGAGCCCCCCAGCCGGCCCACCAGTGCAGTCAGCCCCATCCCGGTCTGCCTGTTCAGATAGAGAGAATGAAGGCGGCAGGTGGTACTCACACCTACCGACCTGGGGCCATGCCCCACAGGGCTCCCCTCCCAGGCTGGCATGCGCTGGTACTCCCTTCTCTCCTAAGAAAGCTAGAGATTCTTTCAGTTGGTCTTCCCACCGATCCCCAGGCCAGGAGCCCCCAAGCCAACACCCACCAGAGAATGGGGGCCCCATTCTGACAGAGTACCTATCAGGTACCATTGAAAGAGAAGAAAAGTCACCAGAAAGGGGACGGGGAAAGGGTTGTGCAGAAGGAAGAAGGTCAGCAGCTTGTACAGGCCCTACCATGTTGCCAGAGGAGGCTCAAGTCTTTCTAAACATAACCAGATTCCTAGTAGGCCCCTCTTCCCACCTGCCAATAGCTAGCCGAAAGGGCCTGCGGCCTTTCAAAGCTGCCCTCAAGAAAACCCTCCAGGGAACTCTGCTTCCGAGGGTGAACGGGATGGGGTGGGCAGAATGGGGCTTCTTGGGTTTTCTTCTAAATGAGGCCCAGAGAGGTTGTCCGACTTCGCTCGGGTCACACGGTACAGAAGATAAAACGCTTCGCATCTTCTAAGACTCGGGTAAACACAGACGGCCCTGACTAGCTCTATTTTCTGGATGCGGTGTACAGAATGAGGGGCAGGGGTGCAGCGTGTGTATGTAGAAGAGTTAGTTAAGACACGTGACTCATGACTCACACGCTCCCTCCACCCCCCGCCCCCTAGGTCGGCTGCCTGACACCCAGGCTCCCCTCACCTGAGCACAGTAGGGTACAACTCCGAAGTGAACAGGTAGGCAGTGGTGAAGGCGGCTTCAGAAAACCCTTTCCCCATCACCGCCAGGGCGGTGCTCCAGGACTTCATCTCTGGAGACAAAGGGGTTCGGGCAGGGGCAGGGCCCTGCTGGGGAGCCCGGGGTTGCCTGAGAGGAGGCGGAGTCTCCGGCGCGGGCCGGACGTAAGTGGCCAAGAGTCGGTGTGC